GATGTGCCTTGAGGCTTTTTACTCTTTTTTTCTTTTCTTACGTTGCTGTTCAGCCTCCACCCTCTATTGAACGCCTCGAAGGCCGCATTGATTCGAGCACAATCAGTGCAGCTGACAATTATTTTACTGTAGACTGGGTGCAGTTTGATTTAACATGCAATTATAGTGCCACTGTTGCTTTTATGCTCTGCCAGATTCATATAGCAGGATGTTGCGCTTCTGTCATTGCCTCATTTCGCAGACTGTTACGTCTTATAAAAACAAATAACTTTAAAAATATTTCATGTTCTTGCATAAAATACTAGAAATTGCCACCCAGTAACTATGTGGATTCTGCGAGCAGTTCATGTGATACCAGGAAATGTTTAACCTCTATTGTAGAGACACAAAAGGTTGTTTTAATCCCACTGTGAGAGGGGAGGGAGGGTCAGGGGAGGTTTTTGTTTTTTGGAGGAGGGGTTTTGGGTGTGCGAGGGAACCAACCCCTCTCTCTTTGCTGTCAGTCAGTTACAGCAGACACGTCGAGAAGTAAACAACCACCGGGATTATGACAGTTGAACTGGCTTCATGCAATGAATGCACAAACTGAGGCGACTTATCCTTACTGACACACACGGAGATAAAGGTGATGTATCAGCTTTGTGGTTAAATGGCATTTAGGGGCACAGTGTCTCTGTTTTGCTCTGTAAGATCTGCATAAGTCATCTTCTTAAGTTTTGAATGTTTTTGGGAGAACTGATGAAATGTCCTGGATGATTAAACCGCTTCAGCAATTATTTGATTTTAAAAAAGGAACCATTATTATTATTGTTGGGTTCAGTTCGTTGGTAATATTAATTATTAATCAGGACAAATATCAAATAATTGCTGCTTTAAACTTCTCAGTGATGACTGTGTGTTGGTCTTCTCTCTTTTATACGATTTAAAATTAAGTATTTGGGGGGTTTGAACTATTAATCAGCCAAGAAATTACATTTGATGGTGTTGCTTTTTGCTTTTTAGAGCTCATGCTGGTTGTTTTATCACATGTTGGTGTTGATTGACAATTATTTTTGAAAATTAGAACTACAAACACATATTAAATTGACAGAATTGTTCAGTGTTTTCACCCTTTTTTTAAGCAAAATATTATCTTTTAAAGTTTTTGTGATAGTAAATTGAATATCTTTGGGTTTTTAACTTGACTGGGCAGCAAAAGGCTTCTGAAGATTATTTAGACAAAACGAACGACGGTCAGTTTCTTCACCACATTACCAAATGAATATAAACTAACTAGTTGATACAGAAAGTAGTCATCAGTTGCATGAGTCTGAAAATGTTCACTAAAACATTTTGAGACTTGGTTTCGTCGTGTACTTGTAGCCTGTCACTCTTTGAAGCTGTGGGTGTTTTCCTTGTGGTAAAACCTACAGACTGGTTTTGCAGCTCAGGTTTGATATTAACACGTTCATAGAGATTTTGCACCTTTCCAGCGCTTGCACAATCAACAAATCCTCTTCATTTTGTTGAGCCTGCTTGCTTTAAAATGTAATTTAAACAAAAAAAAAAAAACCCAGAACCTTTCTATCTGCAAGCCATGTCCTCTAATTTAAATTCAATATTTCTTCCCTCTTTGGCAGTAATGACACTTCATCGGGAGAACGGTATCATCTATAGCCACACTGCCTCTCATTAGGCGATAGTCTAAAATTAAACCAACAGGCTTCCGTGCCAACGCTGAGCCCCCTTCCCCTGTTTATGGACACAGGAGCACACGCACAAACGTACAGCTAAGAACAACACAGCCTGGAAGAGAAAGCCAACCAGACCCTCATTAGAAGAATGACACTGTGCTAATTAGCATTTCTACAGTGAGCCATGCTTGTTTCGCCTGTTGACATTTCACCGGACATGCCGAATATGCAGTATATGCGTCTCTGCTCTATTTTGCATGAGATGACAAATGAAAAACAATGTCCTTAGAAGCAGGTATTCAGCGGTGTACTAACAATGCCGTCTTTGCTTTGTGACATCAATTAATGTCCATTAATTAACAACCAGAGTTTAGTCAGCGTGTTCTGTTTATAGAATACAAAGTCTTACACATTTAGATAGCTCAAAAAAGATGTGAACACCATCTCAAGATTACTTATTTTTGATGCATTTTAATAAATTTACTTTTGGCCTCTTTGAAGCGCCATAAGATATACATACTGTTTGCTTATTATGAGTGTGTAAAGCTGAAATTATTAGCAATCTGTTATTTCTTGCACATTGTTCAAATACGGATTAACATGATATATTTGGTTTTGATCTGCTTGATGACTCTATTTCACACAGATATCTGCTCTCTTTGTAGCTCTGGTTTGGTCTCCACCGACTCCTGATGACAATATCAGTATATCTCTATCTATTCCTAACTGCTAAATGCTTCACAGTGTTAAGCAGCTATCCTAAAACTTTGTTTGTGGGTTGTTGATTTGGCAGGGTGTGTGCAGTTTGCTGGTACGCTGTTAACAAAAGGATATAACCCAGACAATAAGCAGAATGAGCACCGATGTGTTCATTATTATTTTGGGCCGTCTTTTTCCACAAAGCATCAGTGTTATTGTGAGTTTTAGAAGATTCAGATGTTTGCTTTGTTTGGCAGGTCTCATGGCACGAGAGTGCTCCCTAAGGTTTTGAGGGTACTTGCTGTGAGGTGCTTTGTAGTCCTGCTCGCTGCCCAAACTCAGCATCCCGTCTCAAGCTATTTTCAGTTTCGGTCCTCGGTCCTCTTTCTTATCACCATGGCAGCTGAGCTGGACGAGAGCGCTGCACGACTCTGTAGTGTCTAAGGGCAGAGGTGGGGTGGTGAGACGGCTGACTCGATTACATAGTGGGAGGTTTCTTTTGATGGGATCAGAAGGCAGCCCTTTCAAACAGGATGTGGAAAGGTCACTTTGTTGCTTTGTTTTATTCTAAAAAGTCGCGGCTGTAATCAGCTGTTTGATCCTGCAAACCCACAGAGAAGAAGAAAACTGTAAAATCGGTTGCACATTCACCAAAAGCAAAAGGTGAAGAAGGCAGCAGCTGAACTGTAGCGCTGCTCTCAGGTACAGAGTCAGCTCAGGTGTCAGCATTATTACAGTGTGATGCTGTGAGAGAATAGTATGCGTGTCAGTGTTTTTTAAAATCTGGGTCAGAAACCTTTAAATTCAGGGCTGTTGGATGATCAGATTTTCTGTTGTAATATTCTGTAAGAAGTAATGAAGTGACTGTGCGAGCTGGTAAGGCTTTTGAAACGTCGAGCTGTGCGGAAGGTTGCGGTAAATAATGCAGGTTTTGGGGGAACATGGCTAGAAAACAATTCATATGATTGTAAACAAGCGTGCAGCACAGGGTGCACACATTTAAATTTTGGTTAGTGGGGTTAAAGAGCGATATTGAGACAAAACATATGCCATTTGTGTTAAGCAGAATTAATGTCAAATAACTGTTGACAGTTGTGAAAAGCAGTGTTCGTATTTAGCCAAGTGGAAACGGCTGCTTCTCTCAGTGGGACTTCGAGTCATACGAAGAGCAGGAGACTGAAGTCGATAAGCCTTTGCTCGAAGTAAATTGGATCTGCTTCTTCAATCATTCTGCAATCGATTCCGTTAGGTGTGTCCGTGTTGACTGTGACACAGTTTAAGGAAAAGAGAAGACAGATTTTGCTACAGCACCAATCGCAACAGAAGCTGGATAAACCGAACAGAAGTTATTAGAAAAATGAGAGCGAAATGACAAGGTCAGCATAGGTTAGGACAGAAAATCAAAGCCTTTTCCAGCCTCTGACCCAATGTAAAGTTCATATTTTTATAGCAGGAGAGTCATGAGAGAAGTAATTCAGTGTGAAACATTGACTGGGTTTGAAGATTTATGTCAAAATATATATTTATTTAATTTCAAATCTGTCAAGACACATCTGTATATTATCTCCCAGGTCCATGTGCGGGATCTTTAGTTTAGGTCATGATAGGAGGAAGAAGATGAATGGAGAGAGCCTTCTTGGCCACGTGATAAGTCCAGTGTGTTTCCTACTTTACATCCTATGACAGCTGAGATAGGCCGTGACCCTAATTTAGATAGGAAAGTTAGGAAAATGGATGGTTGGAGGATGAAGGCATGATGATCACATTTGACTCGATTTGTTGTCCCACAAATTCCCCAAGCTGTCATGTGAAACCTTTTTCTTTTCTTATTGATTTTTAAAAATATAGTTAAGTGTGCGTTAAGGCAAACATTTCTATTTTTTATCAAGTGTGAGATAATAAGACAGGAAGGCTGAAAGTGGAGGCTGTGTGAGGAAAAGGTGATATAACCAAAAAGGAGATGAGGTCAGAGGAAAGAGGGCACGAGCAGAAGATAGGTGAGGACGACAGGCGTAGAAGAAGAGGAAGAGCAAGTATAGAGAATACACACAGAGTTAAGATGGGATAAGAGAAGAGGAGCTGAAGGAGATGAAACAAGACAAGACGAGAGATGAAGGGAGGAGATGTCTCTCCTCCAGCTCTTAGCCACGGGCCTCAGCTTGGATTGCACACTGTTGCCTCTCAAAGTCTCTGGTTTACACAGCTTGACTGTTTAGGTGCTTTTTACCTCCAAAACTTCACAGTTGGAAGCGTTTTAAGTGCATTTCCAGCCAGTCGACACACCCATGCATGATTACATATATTTAAAAAGAGAAGTGGTCTTTTTTCATAAGAGATTGATCTGAAAGAGAGAATTATCTCTCTCTATCTAAATATCCTGGTCTAATCTGTGCTGTGACTGTGACGGAGCATTAGACATGCACTACGAAAAAGAAGTGTTTTTAGCAGAGTATAAAAAACAAAGCACAGATTAGTGAAGCCATTCTGAAATCAAACAGATGTTGGGAAAAGCCGTTTAGGAAAGACTAGATGTTCCTTTCAAGCTGGTTTAAAATGCTGGTTGTTTCAGAGAGAAGTCTACATGGTGTGCGCTAAATTTGTTATTCCCTGCTGTCCCTTTTTAACCAGACTGAATTCAGCCAGACAGCGGGCGAAGCAGGCCAGGGAGGAGGAGAGAGGGGATTTGGGCTTCTCTGGTAAGTCAGAAACTCCACGGATATCAAAACTTTTCCAAAACAGTGTGAACTTCCGGCCTTTTCGCAATCAAACGTTCTCGTTCTTCTCAGAGCCATTTCCCCTCCCACTGGATGTGAACACACACAGATGTCAGTCTGTTGCCTTTCCTGGCAAATGTCCCCAGTCTAAATATCTTCGTCTATGATGCTGCCAGAATGTGAATTTATTAACATTAACACTCCCTAACCAACTCCCCAATCTTTCCACAGCTACACGTCTTTCTCTTTCACTCTTTGTAGCGGTGCCTACTCTTTTGTTCTAGCTGAAAGGTAGAAGGTCAGCACTTGTTTGATTTCCATTTCTCTAGTGGCAAAGTGTGTTTTGTGTGTGTGTGTGTGTGTGTGTGTGTGTGTGTGTGTGTGTGTGTGTGTGTGTGTGTGTGTGTGTGTGTGTGTGTGTGTGTGTGTGTGTGTGCCCACAATCATTTTGGCAGTGAGGTTGGGCAGCCAATAAAAACAAAACACTGTTGTCTGCTTTATGCCTATGGTTGTCACGGTAGCACACCCTCTCATCCTCGCCCACTGCTGTGAAAGTGGGCGTCAATACTTAAAAATCACAAAATAGCACTCAGTGCCTAAATTGCGCCTGCTGCCTTATTGACACATAATGTGTTATAATGGAAATTGCAGAGGTAGAAAAGTTCCCTAATGGCAGCAGTAAAGTAGCTCTCTTGAGTGTGAGGTCTCTGGATGCATTAGAGTCCAGAGAATTGGCTCTCCGCTAGCACAGTGGTTTTTAAGTGACCCTCCGTAACCTTTGGCTCATCCCCTCATTCTGCCCTGCTGAAAGTGTGCCTGTGATTCAGCAGGGAGTTGATCTAATGCACTGTGAGCTGAGGTGACACGGTGTGATGTGTGTCCACCGCCCAGTGGAGTGTGAAGGAAGGATCCCACCTCGCCCTTGCAGCACGCCGTGCCAAGCGGGGAGGCTGGGAGTTAAGGGACTCTGACAGCTTGGAGCTCATCTGCCTCAGCTGTTGGTGCTATGGTTCTTTTACTTTTGCCATTGGGGGGCGAGGGGGCTCCCCCTCTCTTCCAGTTTATCCATTTATGTTCCTGTTTGAATCTCTCTCTTTGCCTCGACTTTTCTCTCTGTCTGTGTCTGAATTTGTAATTCTTTCTGCTTCATGCTCAGCAATCAGTTATTGTGTTGTGAATGTGTGCTGCAAGCCAGAGAGGATGAGTGTACACTTTTCAATGGCCGCGTCATAGAGGGCAACACCGAGGAGTAGCAGTTTGAAGCACAGTGAGGCGTGAAGTGTGTATTGTAAAGAAACAGCTTTTAGGTCCCAGGCTTTCAATAGAGGCTAGAGAGGTTTCTGTTTACCTCCATGCTGCTGTCTTTCACCGCTTTCAATCACGTGTCCAATCAGAGCGTGTTGTATTAATGTTTTTTTGATAACAAATAGAGGTGAGTAGGAAACAGATCAAAGATCAGAGCTGTGCATCTATCTATCCATCTGTCTGTCTGAATTCAATTCAATTCAATTCAATTTTATTTATATAGCGCTAAATCACAACATAAGTCGCCTCAATGCGCTTCATAGATACAGAGAAAAACCCAACAATCATATGACCCCCTATGAGCAAGCACTTTGGCAACAGTGGGAAGGAAAAACTCCCTTTTAACAGGAAGAAACCTCCGGCAGAACCAGGCTCAGGGAGGGGCGGCCATCTGCTGCGACCTGTTGGGGTGAGAGAAGGAAGACAGGATAAACGACATGCTGTGGAAGAGAGACAGAGGTTAATAACAGATATGATTCAATGCAGAGAAGTCTATTAACACATAGTGAGTGAGAAAGGTGACTGGAAAGGAAAAACTCAATGCATCATGGGAATCCCCGGCAGCCTATGTCTATTACAGCATAACTAAGGGAGGATTCAGGGTCACCTGGTCCAGCCCTAACTATATGCTTTAGCAAAAAGGAAAGTTTTAAGCCTAATCTTAAAAGTAGAGATAGTGTCTGTCTCCCGAATCCAAACTGGAAGCTGGTTCCACAGAAGAGGGGCCTGAAAACTGAAGGCTCTCCCTCCCATTCTACTTTTAAATACTCTAGGAACAACAAGTAGGCCTGCAGAGCGAGAGCGAAGTGCTCTAATAGGGTGATATGGTACTACAAGGTCATTGAGATAAGATGGGGCCTGATTATTTAAGACCTTGTATGTGAGGAGCAGGATTTTGAATTCAATTCTGGATTTAACAGGAAGCCAATGAAAGGAAGCCAAAACAGGAGAAATATGCTCTCTCTTTCTAGTCCCTGTCAGGACTCTTGCTGCAGCATTTTGGATTAGCTGAAGGCTTTTCAGTGAGTTTCTAGGACATCCTGATAATAATGAATTACAGTCGTCCAGCCTGGAAGTAATAAATGCATGAACTAGTTTTTCAGCGTCACTCTGAGACAGGATATTTCTAATTTTAGAGATGTTGCGCAAATGGAAGAACGCAGTCTTACATATTTGTTTAATATGTGCGTTGAAGGACATGTCCTGGTCAAAAATAACTCCAAGGTTCCTCACAGCGTTACTGGAGGCCAAGGTAATGTCATCCAGAGTAAGAATCTGGTTAGATACCATATTTCTAAGCTTTTCAGGGCCGAGTACAATAACCTCAGTTTTATCTGAATTAAGAAGCAGAAAGTTGGCAGAAAGGCCATCCAGGTCTTTATGTCTTTAAGACATTCCTGCAGTTTAACTAATTGGTGTGTGTTATCTGGCTTCATAGATAGATAGAGCTGGGTGTCATCTGCATAGCAGTGAAAATGTATGCTATGTCTTCTAATGATACTGCCTAAGGGAAGCATGTATAATGTAAACAGAATTGGTCCTAGCACCGAACCCTGTGGAACTCCATAATTAACCTCAGTGTGTGAAGAGGACTCTCCATTTACATGCACAAATTGGAGTCTATTAGATAGATATGATACAAACCACTGCAGTGCAGTACCTGTAATACCTACAGCATGTTCTAATCGCTCTAATAGGATATTATGGTCAACAGTATCGAACGCTGCACTGAGGTCTAGCAGGACAAGCACAGAGATGAGTCCACTGTCAGAGGCCATAAGAAGATCATTTGTAACCTTCACTAAAGCTGTTTCTGTGCTGTGATGAGCTCTGAAACCTGACTGAAACTCTTCAAATAAACCATTCCTCTGCAGATGATCTGTTAGCTGTTTGACAACTACTCTTTCAAGGATTTTTGATATGAAAGGAAGGTTGGAGATTGGCCTATAATTAGCTAAGACTGCTGGGTCTAGAGATGGCTTTTTGAGTAAAGGTTTAACTACAGCTAGCTTGAAGGCCTGTAGTACATAGCCGATCATTAGAGATAGGTTGATCATATTTAAGATCGAAGAATTAATTAATGGCAGGACTTCTTTGAGCAGTTTTATAGGAATGGGGTCTAAAAGACACGTTGATGGTTTGGAGGAAGTAATTATTGAAATTAACTCAGAAAGATCAATTAGAGAAAAAGAGTCAAATTAGAATGAAGGGTAAATTTAACTGGGAAAGAATAAGATAAAATATATAAATTAAAGTTGAAAATAAAATAACTGTACAACAAAATACACAATATAGAACTATATCTAACTTAACATCAATGGTACTAAGAGTAGCTGTAGATAATATTACATCTGTGGGATGATTGTTGGTAATTTTTTCTCTAATGATAAAAATTTTATTTGTGAAGAAGTTCATGAAGTCATTACTAGTTAACGTTAAAGGGATTGTTGGCTCAAAAGAGCTCTGACTTTTTGTCAGCCTGGCTACAGTGCTGAAGAGAAACCTGGGGTTGTTCTGTTCTGACTGAGCAAGTATAGTAAACTGAGTGCATTCCTAAAATGTAAAATAAAATAGTAATTATAATAAGAAGAAACACAACCATAGGATTTTATGGCCATAGCTTTGATTTTTCCAAATGTCTGACCTTGCTACAACTGATTACGTGTTTCACTTGCTAAAGGCACAAAATTTCCTAAAACAAGCAACAAGTGCAGATGGCTGCAGCGCAGGGCTGGCAGAGCAAAGGGAAGAAAGGCGCCAACAATCCACTAGTGTCTGTGGGTCATAGCCAGTTATTTTCTGCAGCCAAAGATTGAAGGATTTATTTATTTTTAAAAAATGGTTTAAAATATCTTGATTCTGCTCTTTGTGTCATGATCCTGGGTCTTTTGACCCAGCGTTTTAAGTTTGAGTTTATTTTGTTCATTAGGTTATCTAAGTTCACTTGGTTATTAGACTCCTTGTGTTTTCTTCCCCTGTATTTAAGTTTCCCCTCAACCTTCGTGTTTCATGCTGCGTGTCATTTGTTATCAAGTTTGTATTATCATGTCTAAGTGTTTCTAGTTATTATTTTCCCCTCGTGTTTCAACCATGTTAAATCTCCCTGCTCTTCATGTGTTTCATGTCTGTGTCTTACATTGTGAAGTTTGGGTTGTCATGTCTACGTCTCATTATGTTTCCTGTTTTATTGTGAAGAGGTCTGGTGTTTCTGTGTTCAGTTTTACTCTTCCCCTGTGGCGTTGTTATGTTCATGTTGATCTACTGTGCCTTTCTGTTCCATGTTTCAGATCCCTATGTTCTGTCTCCCCCAGTCTGTTAAGTTCACATGTCTTGAGTTCCGTCAGTGTGTTTCCTGTTTTACTTTCACAGTCTGTTCTATGTTAATGTTTCTAGTTTTGCTTCCTTGCCTCGTCCTGCTCAATTACTTTCCCACTGTGACGTCATTATGTTCATGTGTGCCAGCTGTTTCCTCATGTGTCTCCACTTCCCCTAATCACCTCCTGTGTATTTAAGTCCTCTGTTTTCAGTGTGTGTTTGTCAGGTCGTCTGTTGTTCACGCCATGTTCTCCATGCCATGTTTCTAGGTTTCATGTCCAGGTTTTTCCATGTTGTTTGTTTAGTTCTCCAGTTTAGGTTAATGTTAGTTTTATTTCTGTTTGCCTTGCCCGTTATTTGTA